CGGACGTTCGTTCATTCATGGGATTGGCGGGCTACTATCAGCGATTCATCACCGAATACTCCAGGATTGCTGCACCTATGACGAGGTTACAATCGCCAAAGGTGCCATTCGTATTCGATGACGACGCACGCCGGTCATTCCAAGCACTTAAGACGGCCATGCTCATGGCACCCGTCCTCAGCATCTATGACCCCACCTTGCCGACGAAAGTGACCACGGACGCTTCCGGCTATGGCATTGGGGCAGTCTTGGAACAGCACGACGGCGACGACTGGCACCCTGTGGAGTATTTCAGCCACAAAGTGCCTCCCATCAACTCGCTTGATGATGCAAGGAAGAAGGAGCTACTCGCGTTCGTCATGGCTCTCAAGAGATGGCGGCACTTCCTCCTTGGGCGTCGTAGGTTCACAAGGGTTACGGACAACAATCCATTGACCTACTACAAGATGCAGGATACGGTGAGCAGCACGATCGGACGATGGATGTACTTCATCGACCAGTTTGACTTCACACCGAAACATCTACCCGGCCTCTCAAATCGCGCAGCAGATGCACTCTCGCGAAGACCAGATCTTTGCGCTATGACACATCATGCCTTCGCATTCGACGAGGAGCTTCAGCGACACTTCATCCGGGCATATGAGTCTGATCCGGACTTCGGCACGCTCTATGCACAGCTATCTTCGGATCACCCACCGACCAGCCATTACCGCATTGCCGACGGGTACTTGCTTCTCCACTCGAGAGGCAAGGACTTACAGTCAATCCTCTGGACACCAGAGTAATCAATGCTGGCAGGGTCCATTTGCTTTAGCCTGTTTTCATTTTGTGTTCCATCCTGTAATGGGACGCTGGGCCCGTTTTCCAGCAGGTGATGCYCCCCACYAATAGATGGAGCCTCTCCCCGGGTGCTAGTGGTGTCTGCTCTCACCAGCACCACTAGCATTGCAGAGGGTGTGTTTTTCAACAAAAAAAAAAAAAAACTTTCAGACAACGTTAGAAGATCTGGTAAACTGGTATGGTGATACAGTCAGGCAACATCCACCACCTCCACGATGCCGTGTCAATAGATCTGACTTGGACCTGACCATCGAAGAAGAAAATAATAAATATAAATGAAATACAAAAAACGGTTAAGKGCAACGCAGTCATAATCGACTGGCAAGCCAAGTGTGGCATACTGCGTAGCCACACAATACAAAAAACGGTTAAGGGCARCGCAGTCATAATSGACTGGCAAGCCAAGTGTGGCATACTGCGTMGCCACWCGGGTCCCGGACATTCAGCCTAAAAGCCTAARACTTAGGGCTTAYAGGCCCCGTTCRTTTCAGCCTGGATGCTGAAAAACGAGGGCCTGCAGGCCCTACCCCGTTTCAGCCTATTTCTGGGTCTTTTCAGACCCAGAGTTTTCAGCCTGAAACGGAGGGCCATTTTCAGGCCCTCATTGTTTCGACCTGCCCTAAGACTCAGGCACGTAAACAGGGATGCGGAACAGGCCAGAAATAGCCTGTTCCTCACGAGTTGAGCAGGAGCTGCAGCTGCAGCCCCTGCCTCCCTTCGGCAGGCTCAGGAGGCACACCCGTAGTACATAGGAAGTTCCCATGCACTTCACGGGTGGGTAGTTCAGTAGGCACGAGGTAGTCTTCAGGATATCGGCCGCA